GGCTAATTTCTTTCTATTTTGAGTAGAGACAGGGTCTCACACTTGCTGAGGCTGATCTCGAACTGCTGACCTCGAGCAGTCCTCCCACCTCAGCCTCCCATGGTGCTAGGATTATAGGCATGAGCCACCATGCCCGGTGACTCAGATTTCTTAGTTTACAGTTGACTGCGTTTGTCTTATCCACCCCTTGCCCTGAACCAGGAATACATTTTATTCATTCTTTTTTTTCTTCTTCTCTGAACCATTTCAAAGTATGTAGTAGACAGGTCTACAACCTAGAACAGATCCTCAGCCTTGTCTTCTGTGTCTTTCACACATGGACCACTCAGGCAACGTTATTTATTTAGAGTCCCTATTAGATTCAGTTTTCATTCATTTCTTTACAGGAATACCATAGAAGTAATGCTGTAGTTCTTCTACAATTCATTATTTCCCATTACTGGTGATGTTAGCATTTACTATTTGGTTGAGATGGTATCTTCAAGGTTTTCCACTGTAAAGTTAATAAATACTTATGATGAATAAATTAGTGTTTTGTGGCAGTTTGAGACTATGTAAATACTGTTCCTCAGCAAACTTTGAACCATAAGTTTATTATCCATTGATGCTTCTTGTCTAAGACACTATGATTTCTGAAATGATAGTTCATACTGTTTCATTTGATTTAGTTTGTATCAAGATGTTTATCTCCCTTGTCACTTATATTAGTTCTAAATGCTGTACTTAGTTTTAATTTGTTGTCTCATTGTATTCCCATAATCATTCTAGAATTACTGAGTGAGCATTACTCGACACTTGTCCCTTCCAGGTATAGGTAACATTGTAATGTAAAGTATAGCTTCCCATGCCCCCAGTTTATTTTATTTTATCACTGTGGACTCCCGGGCTTCCATTTTATTCAGTGGGGCTATAATTCATTACTATTATAATTTATTTTAATGCCCAAGTTGTCCCAATTAGGCACTATGATCCCCTTCATATTGGCTCTTCAGACCTTTTGACATGTCTCTATTATTCTTTGAGAACATCTCAACCAATTGGCATAAGATACCCAGCCTCATCTTATACTTTGCCTACAGCTTAGAATCAGCCATTTCTCCAAGGAACATGGTTCTTTTTTGTCTGAGAATGGCATTTAGAAATTAAGATTTTTTCATTGCTTACAAAGGTGTCATTGTTTCTATATTCTCTTGAGTGGACACAGCTGGGATATAGGGATGTGTGATCACATAGCTATTACCTGTTTCTCTAGATACACCTCCAGTTACCATATAATATCACATGGTTTGTGCTAGTCACTCCACTTTCTGTGCTTATATCTACCTTTTCTAATAATGCAAAACCTTGTTGCCATTACTCTCAATTTGTTTACAAGTTGATCAGTCACCTGTGTGTAACCAGTGACACCTGGGCTGTCACCTCAGCCTCAACATCCTGTCCAAGAATTCCTGGGTATTATTTCCTAATGTACATTGATGTCTGAGAAACTGATTATAGGGAGAAAGGTTGATTTACTTCTAGTAGCAACATTTGTTTTTCATTTCTCCACATGAGATTAATTTTTAATTAACAAGCACTGGATTAGAGTTTTCTCTTAAATCTGAGAATCCCTTTCCTTAAAAGAATGGATTGTTTGAGAGAAACAAAGGTAATCTTGGAATGGGGATGATATTTTGGGCAAGAGAAATGTGAATTTATTCCTGTAGGTATTTCTCTGGAGAGAGATGATCTAAGAAGGGTACAAAGGAAAGTCAGTGCTTTTAAGACAATCATTTTTGAAACCGAGGAAACAGTAGACTTTTCCTTTCTCAGTATTTAGATCTCTGACTTATTCAGTATTGTTTGTAGGGATCAGTGTACTATAGACCAGCCAGGAAATAGCTATTTTCTGATAGCAATTTTTTTTCGTATTTTAAAAACTTTTAAAAATTTTGTTTGGGAACCTATCAACCTGTCATACAACCTTACCTATAATTTAGTACTTTTTACAGATTAGTTATTGAAATTCTAAGAAATATAAAAGTTTGAAATGCATTTTATAATTCCTTAGGTAAAATAGACTGGTTTTTCTGAAATTTTTTTTTTAAGTCAGAGTCTTGCTCTGTTGCCCGAGCTAGAATGTCATGGCATCAGCTTAGCTCACAGCAACCTCAAACTCCTGGGCTCAGGCACTCCTGCCTCAGCCTTGCAAGTAGCTGTGACTACAGGCACGTGCCACCATGCCCAGCTAAATTTTTCTATTTTTTAGTAGAGACGGGGTCTCCCTCTTGCTGAGGCTGGTCTTGAACTCCTGACCTCAAGTGATCCTCCCACCTTGGCCTTCCAGAGTGGTAGAATTATAGGCCTGAGCCACAGTGCCTGGCCTGGCCTGGAATTCTTATTCTAGATCTGCAAATAGTTTTCTTTGTCTCGCATTCTCCTTCGTAAAGATGATGTTCTAGTGATATTTATCTATTATTAGTATATTATTTTAAGATTTGTTTGGCCTATCAGTCAACAAAAGCACATGTATTTGATGTATCTAGCATTAAATGTGAGATATAAATTATAAAGGTGGACACTATTTCCAATATACTTGAGTTTTTAATCAGTTCAATTTTATCTTAGCATCACAGAGACCTTCTTCAGATTGGTCCAAAAAGAAGAACGAGCCCCTAGGGAAATTGACTTCTTTATTTAAACTTACCGTGAGAGTGATCTATTCTTTCCACACTCTGAGCTTCAAGGAAGAACATTCTGATACCCTCTTCGCTATTGGCAATTCAATCACCAGCATTCTTTCCAATGTAGTTGGACATATTTCTTTGCCATCTATGATCCGAAAAATATTTGCAACTTTAACACAACCTCTGGCATTACTTTATGAAAACTCAAAGTAAGTATTTTGGGCTTAGTAGCTTTGAATTAAATATATTCAATTTAAATAGAAGTAGTGGCTATTGTTGTTTTCCTATCAGCTTTTTTATTATAGATGGTAATCTTGATAATT